GCAGGGCTTGGCTGGACACCAGCCAGGCGCCTCCCGCGCCCTTCCGTAACCTCGCGATCGTTCCCTGCCGCCTCCAGCTCCCCCCTCCCGCTTACTGCAGCCTTGAGGATCTTGCCCACACTGCACCTGCCCCCTTCCCCCGCTCCCCATTCTGCCATTGGTGTTGTGTTCTTCGTGGTTCGCTGGACCCCGGATAAATCCATCCTTTTTCTGCGTCTCACGCATACACACACACGCACTTTTTTTTTTTTTCCTTGAGACAGGGTCACGCTACGTAGTTCAGCCTGGCCTTGAACTCTCTCTGTAGTCCAGGCTGACCCTGAACTCTAAGCAATCCTCCTGCCTCAGTCTCTGGGGTGCCGGGTTTACAGGTGTGTACCCCACGCCTGGCCAGATGGTCGTTATTCTTGTTTTGTCGCCGTTAGAGTTGGAGGTAATTAGTTTGTGCATGGTTACGTAGTAAGTGGAGAAGCCCACGGAACGTCAGGATGTGTGACCCCAGAGGATAAGTTTTGACTAAACTACAGCCTAACTCCGTCCCCTCGCTTAAATCCATGTCCCTTCCCCTTGACGGTGCCTACTCCTGCCAAGCCTGGCTTGTGAAGGAAGCAGTTTGCATTCGTGACCGCCTGGCCCTTCCTGCCGGGACGTGTGCCTCGGGACACCTGCACGAGTCCTGTGAGGTCATCCGCTGTCCTGTCGGGTCCAGCAGCTGATTCACTGCTGACCTTCTGGGCCCCGAGGGACTGCTATCCCACAGGCTCCTTCGACGCCTTTCCTCTCATGCTTCAGCTGCTTAGCTGACCTCTTTGTCCTCCACCCATTCCCCTTCCTGACACTGGGGTGTTCTTCGGGGGTTCTTTTCTGCCTTCTCCGCACTTTGTTCACGAGGGAGCTCACTCAGTACTCCGAGACCTTTGTTACCAGGTGTAGACAGCATCCTTACTTAGACTGCTAATTTACATCCGGAGCTGAATTCACCATCTCCTTGCCCCGGCAGCCATCAGCTTTGCCGTGCCTTGTCCTAAAGAGCGGTGCCCACCCTGAGGCGCCCCAGCCAGTGTCCGGAGCATCGTCTCTGCCTTTGCTGTTTCCCAGTCTGATCTCTGGGCTCCAGGTGCACTATGCATTAATCCCCAGCCCTGCCTCCTCTGCCGGCATCTGCCTTTGGTCCTGTGACTCCCTGGCCAGCTTTGCTGCTGGATTCTTACCTGCTCTCCTTGTGTGCTCCGCGGGAGACTAATTAGGTTTCAAAGTGTGTTTTTGACCTTGGCGTTCAGCTGAAGGAATCTGTTGTGGTTCCTTTGTGCACTCAGGTTAAAGTAGAAACCTCTTAATCTCATCTGGGCCCTTGGCTTCCCTCTTCTGAATTGTTTATAACTACTGAATATTCCCTATTTTCACTTAAGTCCCCTAGGTTATCGCATTGCTGTTTTTCAGTCTGGGTTGAACTTCTCACGTATCAGGGCTGTGGAGCTGACACCCTTTCCCCTCCCCCAGAGTATTTTAAACACGTACATGTTTCCGTGTTATTTCTCTGGTGTTCCAGGTCTAGGTTCGTGGGCCACTTGTCTGAAGAACCATCCCCGACCTCAAGACAGGTTAGGTAGCTGCTCTGTGTCCCCAGAGCCTTCAAAGGTCCCCTAGGGCTGCCGCTGTCCCCTGTTCATCTCACTGTTCTGGATGAGTGGAGTAGACACACTGTGAGCACCTGCGTGTTTTCTTCCCTGCAAAAATGGGGAGTTGAACACCTGCCTCGGCGTTTCTTGACCAGTGAGTGGGCATTTTTAATAAAGTGCTGGCGTGAGAAGGTCAGTTCCGTGTCTCACTGGAACTTTCCCAGAAGTTGCTGTGAACGTTGGCTGGAGTCTTGAGCAGCTGTGGGGTTCAGCCTGTGAGGTGAGAGGTGAGGCTGCGCCGGCGTCACCTCCAAGGGGTATTTCTGCAAGGCCGCGGAGTGTTGCTCCCCACTCCGGGCCTTGGTGTGCGAAGCCTCCAAGTGCAGAAACTTTTCACCAATCCGAACGTGGTGCTTAGAATGTTAGTCCCCAAAGCTCACCTTCTGTTTTGGGGGGTTTTTTGGGGTTTTTTTTGGCGGGGGGGGTTCTACCATTAAAGAAGCTGCCAGAGGGCCAGGCATTTGGCTCAGTGGTTCAAGCACAACGACCCGAGTTTGATCCTTGGTACCAAAAAAAAAAAAAAAAGAAGAAGCTGCGAAGCTGCTGGGTCACTTCAGACTTTAGTTTCAGACGTGAGAGGCTGGGGTGGCTCGCTGTCCAGGGACCTTGGCTGTGAAGGTCTTAGCTGTGGGGCTGCGAATTCCTGACTCTGCACATGCACCCTCTCCTTCCTCTGCTCACACAGACTCCTGGCCCCTGCTCACCCGCTCCTGGGGCAGCTGAGATGCAGGGAGCTGTCTGTGTGCGGGGAGACGGTGGCTGTGCTTCTGCCGAGGGAAGAAGGTGGTGAGCCCAGTGCAGCCTGTTTTCCCAGGTGTCCGTGTCCCCTCTCTGCGTTGACATCAGACTCGGGAGAGCAGAGCCCAGGCTTCCTGCAGGTGTCCTTGTGAGCCGCTGTTGGAGCCGGGACAGCCGACCCTGGTGCACTTGTTCGGGCTGGAGGAGGGGAGAGCCCTGAGTTTTAGGGGCTTGCTCTTTTGGGTTTTGTGAAACTGCTGAGCCGGGCAGCCCTTGTCCCAAACTCATCAGGGAGAGGGCATTTGTGTGTGGGTCAACAGTGACAGTCACTTGAGCCTGTCTGTCCTAGCTGTGGCTCCCCTGTCACTGGTCCCTCGCCAGCACTGCCCAAGAGAGCTAGCGGGCACAGTCCCACCCTGATGGCACCCCGCAGGCTCCGTGCTCTGTCAGCGCCGCCTCTCCAGGGAACTGCGGTGTGGAAGTGACTTGCTCCAGGTGCGAGTGCCGGGCACGAGTGATGGGATCCCGAATATTGACCTAAAGAGCTCCTTCCTTCTGGCCTCTTACTGTGCTACCAATCCTGCGTTTCTAAGGCGCGAGCTCAGGTGCAGCACAGCCTTGTTGGAGATTCCTCTGCTCACCGTTCCTGGGCCCTGCCCACAGCCCTGTGTGGTGCTTCCATGCCCATTGGACTTCTAAACCCAGCCACTGACGAGCCAGTACTTTCTCGGCCCTCACTTCCTGCCTTTCCTTCATCCCCTGCCCCAGGAACCTGTCTTCGCTCCTGTGCCCAGTTCACTGTTCAGACAGTCTGGTGTGCCGCCTTCCCCCGGGCTCCCCATATCCGGCCGCTGGCCTCGGGGCCCCTGTGTGCTTCCCCACCTGGCCTTGCCGTGTTGACCGCTGTTCCTTAGCTGAGCTGAGCCCTGACCCTGATCACAGGCTGCCGCTCTTGACCCCTCCCAAGCATGAAGTTATTAGTGCGTTTCCCTTAGCAAGGTTTCAGATGAAAGTTTTTTTATTTTTTTGCAAAAACAGTATCTGTTGTAAATGTTACCAATTTATGCAAACTTTGATACTAAGTAGTTAGCAAGATGGTGAGGACTGATAAGGAGAGTTCACTAATTGAAAAGACATTTCTCCCAACTGCACAGTTTCTGGTTAGCCACAGCTTACCCTGTTTATTTCCCATTATTAAAAATGCCGCTGGGAAGGCCAGGGATTTAGCTCAGTGGCACCACGCCTGCCTCGCCAGCACAAGGTCTTGAGTTTGATCTCCAGTACCAGGAAAAAAAAATGCGGCTACTTTTACATTCACTGTAATAGGAATGCACAACTGACTGCTAACTGGCTTTAAATATACCTTAAACCTTTGTATTGCAGAATAAAATGCTACTCAATTGCATTATTCTTCTTAAATTACTAAATTAAATGTTTCTTTTTTTTCCAGCCATCGAAGATCAGGATTAATTTAGAAGATAACGTGCAGTATGTGTCCATGAGAAGTAAGTTGATTCCTGACTGGGTTTCTGGTTTGGAGTTGAAGGAATATTGCTGAAATCGTTTACTTGAAATGCATGTGATGCGTGGAGCCCAGCCGCGTACAGTGTGCGTTTCCTCCTTGTCGCCCTGAACTGTGGAGTGCGGAGTCCGAGCAGCGCGAGTCCTGGGTTGGATGACGGCCCTAGGCAGCAGTTTCTGTTCCCGTGCTTAGAGATGATGTCCCCTGAAACCCCATGTGCTGTCCCTTCTCGGTGTGGCCAGGGCAGCCACAGACCCGGAGCCTGGACTGGACGGCTCGAGGGGTGGTGTTGCCATGGGCCCGCGTCACACGGCAGTCTGCTGTTCCCGGTGTGTGCTCCAGCGTCGCCGCAGGAGAGGCTGAGCGGTGCACGTGCAGTGTCGCGCTGTAGAAAACGAGTAGCAGCCTAGGAACGTACTCAACCTGAGCTTGCTAATAGCAGTGTAGCCAAATGTGCTCTTGAAGGGGGAATTTCTCATTTGCTGTGTTCCAAGGCTTGTGGAGCTATGGCTTCTACTCTAAAGAGACACAGCTTCCTAGTTTGTCCAGCCCAGGAAGACACTCGCCGCACAGAGTGCTGCTGCTGCCGTGCAGGCGCTGCGGGACCTGACCCAGGACCGCTCCTGCTGGAGGGGACAGCGGCACCTGAAGCCACTGACTGCGGGTGCTTGGGAGAAGAGAGATCAGGCGTTTAGCCCAGACTACAGCTGAGGCGTTAAGCTTTAATCCATGAGGACTTTCTGATGGCGTCAGGTTGGAAAGGACAAACAGAATGGCAGCACTCGTGCAGGCGCGGTGCGGCCTCTGACTCAGACAGACAGACAGACAGACAGACAGACAGCCTGCACAGCACCTGAGAGTCCGCGGCCTCAGGGCTTCACAATTCTCCCACCCAGCTGCTCAGGTGCTGTCTCAGGGAAGGCTCCCCAAAGTGTTGCAGAGAATAGTAAAGTTGGAGAGAGCCTGGGTTTTTGGTATGGGAATCATTTCACCATTAAGAATGATGAAATTCTCAGGGGCTGGGGGTTTAGCTCAGTGGCTCCACTGCCTGCCTCACAAGCACGAGGTCCCGAGTCCAATCTCTGGTACAAAAAACAAAAACAATGATGACATCCTTGACATATCAGGATGTTCATGGTACTAAGAGAGCTTGTTACAAAAATGGTATGCTCCTGTTTTTGCTTTTAAAACTCAGCACTCTGTGTGTGTGTGTGTGTCTGTGTGTGTGTGTGTGTGTGTGTGTCTCGGGAGTTTCTCTGTGTGTGAGGACCCCGACTCCTCATCATAGCTGAGTGAGGGTGACGGGATTGTCCCCTTTCCTGTGCCACCTGCTCAGGATGGAAGGACACAGGAGTGTGGGCTCCTCCAAAACCCTCATCAGGGCCAGGGATTATAGTGGCGCTGTGCTTGCCTGGCGAGCACAAGATTCTGAGTTCTGTCCTGGTACCGGCTGGGAAAAAAAAAAAAACCTTCATCAAACAGGGTTATATTTGCAACGTAACTAGCAATATTAAAAAATAATAAAAGCAAAACCTTTCTCCGGAAGTACATGTTCGTTAATTTAAAGACGAAAGGAGAGCTGGGCATGGTGGCACACACCTGAAATCCTGGCACTCAGGAGGCTGAGGCAGGAGGATCGCTGTGAGTTTGAGACCAGCCTGAACTACAGTGAGACCCTGTCTCAAAAAAAAAAAATAACCAAAGTAGAAATTTAATTTTAAGATCCTCTCTTCCTGAAAAGAGTATAGTTCTAAACAAACTGGCCTCTTTGATGAGAGAAGCAGACGCATCAGACTGGCCTGACTGCAGAGTAGAAACCGTCTGCCTTTCGCATAGACGCAGCGCCCCTTGCTGACACATAAAGCCTCTGTTTAATCTGGGCTGGGCTGGCGGGGTTTTACCCAGTTAGAAGACTCTTGCCTGGAAGTCAGCTATGATGTGGCTCGTGTGCAGGAATGTCTGCAGTTATCTACGCTTTCAGGTCAAAAGAAAATAAGTGATTATGATTATTTCAGTGAGTTGAGGAATGTGACTTAAATTTTACAGATGTGTCTGTTTTGTTTCCCAGAAGCTCTAAAAGTGAAGAGGCCGCGTTTTGACGTATCGCTGGTGTATTTAACCCGGAGATTCATGGATCTGGTCAGATCCGCTCCGGGGGGCATCCTGGACTTAAACAGGGTGGCAACCAAGCTGGGTGTGCGCAAGCGCAGGGTGTATGACATCACCAACGTCTTGGACGGCATCGCCCTGGTCGAGAAGAAATCCAAGAACCACATCCGGTGGATGTGAGTGGGCCTCCGTGGCTTCTGCTTTCTGCTTCCATTCTTGTTACGTGACAGTTCTGTCCTTATACCACAGCAGATGTTAGCATTGTTTGACAGCATGGAACAAAGACAGGTGTGATTCTCTCTAGGAAAAGATTCTGTAAGATTTTCTTGCCTTGTCCCACAAAGGTCTTTCTTTAAAATTTCTCAGGACTGAATGGAGAACATAGGCATGGAAAGTCTTTTCCGAGGGTCCAGCTGCTTCTGGGTGGAAACATACAAGGATGAGAACGGGTGCTCGAGGGGCACCGCCCCAGGAGAGTGCGGGAGCCGTGGCCTTGCTCAGTGCCCTGTTCACGGAGCACTAACTGAGTAATGTCAATTCGATCTGAAGGCAAGGACAGAGGCGGGGTGACAGACCCCACTGACAGCCTTTCCCTTATTTCCCATGGGGGATGGGCGTCGTGGCGCACACCTGTAATCACAGCACTCAGGAGGCTGAGGCAGGAGAGTCACCACAAGTTACAGGCCAGCCTGGGCTACAGAGTCGGACCGTGTCTCAGAAAAAACAGCAACAAAAAAGAATATCATATTCAGAAAGAACGCACACAGTGCGAGAGCCTGCAGACTCACAGTGTGGTAGTGGAGGAGCTGTCGCTGCGCAGCGCTCTGTGGCTCTGCAGAGCCTCAGCTCTTCAGGATCTCGAGGCTACTGCTAAGGGTGGTTTGTCTTCCACAGAGGATCCGACCTGAACAGCTTTGCAGCCATGCCCCAGCAGAAGCAGCTGCAGCAGGAGCTGTCCGACCTATCCGCAATGGAAGATGCTTTGGATGAGTTGATTAAGGATTGTGCTCAGCAGCTGTTCGAGTTAACAGATGACAAAGAGAATGAAAGATATCCTTTAAATCTGTACATACATTTATTTGTTTGTTTGTTTGTTTGGTGAGACAAGGTCTCAATAAGCCTGAGTTCAGGGTGGGCTTGAATGCACTGTGAAGCCCAGGCTGGCCTGGAGCTCATGGCGATCCTCCTGCCTCAGCCTCCTGAGTGCTGGGATCACAGGTGTGCACTGCCACTCCTGGACATCTCCCCCCCCCCCCCCCC